TAGTATTTATTATCAAGCTCACATCCTAAAAAATCATCTTGAACTAATTGAGACTGCTTATATTTGAAATTTAACATTTTAATCCTCTTGTTTTTCTATTCATCCCCCAAATTCAAAATGCAAAAAACCCTTAAAATTGCTAATCAACTTTAAGAAGAGTTTAAAATAGAAGTTTTGAGAAGGTAATGCAGGATGAATTATTGTTGAAAGAAATAGAGATTTTTATCTCTTTGAAATATATAGTATACACGATAAGACGAATTTGTCAACAAGATAGAGTAAAAAGTCAATGCTGTTAGTGTATAGTTTTTGTAAAATAGGCGGGGTTTTAATTCTAACCACATCCCACCTGATAGACCAGAAATTAGAACCAACACCAGCAAAAAAAGCTAATATCTGATTTAGGGGCACTGTTACACTTCATTGAGCCAACGGAACACCGTCATACGTGTTACATCAAGCTGTTTTGCTATCTCAGTATTATTCTTACCTTGAGTTTTCAAACGTAGTGCGAGCTTGCGTTTGGCATCATATTTAGCAGAACGAGTCTTACCACCTTTAGATGCTCCTAAAGCGCCTTTACGTGTCTGACGATCAATAAACTCTTGATAGGCATAACCATCACGTTTCCAGACCCAGCGAGCGATTGATTTTGCTATCCCTCTCACTTCGTTATATTGCATTGGCACAGAGAATTGAGCATTCACAGAACTGCATTTATTAAGGACTGATTCAAGCCATTGGTTAAACGTTTTAGTTCGATACTGACGCACTTCAACATATGCCCAATGTCGTACTGTATGGAATACACAGCAGTTTCGACCTAATCCTACCGCTTCATCAATCTTTATTTCTTGATTGATATTCTTTGCTGTTAATTCTAATCGTTCTGATAACTGATCAAGTGTATATGCCTGTTTATGTAGCCTGTGTGTTCGCCAGTGCTCATGTACGGCATTTTTAGTTATTAAACCACTGTAATTAACATCTGCCTTTAAAACCGCTCTGAGCGCGTTATAGACCGCATTACCGTATTGTATCGGTTTCGGCTTACTGGCATCCGTTTGATAGATTGGAGTTTCAAGCTGATAAATGTAGTGAGCATGCCCATTTTGTGGGTTCTCAACAATTAAATTTGGAATTGGTACACCAACCATATCGTAGAAGAGATCAACATATGCCGTTGGATAATCCAGATCAAAGACAAAAAAGTGAGTGTAATAGGGGTGATTAGGTTGAATGTAACGTTTGAGTAACGCTACATGTTTAGGTCTGATTTGTAATCCTAAATGTAAATCATCCGAACAATACGGTTTATTCGGAAATCGGTCTGTTATTTGTTCTAAGCCTAATGATAATTGTTGCACTGCATAACTTACCTGTTTGCAAATGCATTTGTAATCTGTATTATTGGCTACAGACTACATGCAAATGTTGTCTAAAGGATTCAAGCCTGTATTTTCAAACTTTGGTCGGGGAGAAAATACGGGCTTTTTCATGTCTGAAATATTTGTACCATAGATCAAAATAATTATCCAAATAAACAACCCAATAAGTCTTTATTTTAATATGGAATAATTAGAAATTATTCCCAGAAAAACAGCTCGTAAATGTGCCATAGGTGTTTAATATTTCAAATACCATATAAAACATAAGATGTTGAATTTATTGCAAATGAATATTTATTTTGTAGATTTTTCAAATAGAGTTTTGCTGCTTGTTGTTACACGATCTCACAAAGTTGTACTTACCTGTTGAACCAGATCATAAGTGTGTAAATAAAAGCCCCATTCTCGTTTTAAAATATCCTGAGCTTTACTTCATTGCTCGTTGAACCGTTGACAACGAAACCCCTAACTCTTTAGCGACTGCTCGATAACTCAAACCGTTAGCAATCTTATCTTTGATTAATTCATCATTAATCTGTTTTGTTCGCCCCTTGTACTTGCCCTCTGCTTTAGCAATTGCAATCCCTTCTTTTTGACGCTCTAACATCAGATCTCTTTCAAACTGAGAAAATGCTGAAAGCATGGTGAACATAAGATCATTCATTGGATTACTTGTATCAGGGCTAAAGGTCATGTTGTTTTTATGAAAAACCACAGTCACACCTTTGGCCTTCAATATGTCCATAATTTCGATCAAGTCTTTGGTATTACGCCCCAAGCGATCAAGACTATGAACATGCAGTGTATCCCCAGCTCTGATGTACTCAAGCATTGCTTGCAATTGTGGGCGATTCACATCCTTACCACTCACCTTATCTTCATAGACTTTATCAAAGGTCATCCCCTCTAATTGTCTAGCTGTTGATTGATCGAGTGTACTGACACGTTTGTAGGCAACTGTCACCATTATCGTATTCTTTTAAGTCCTAGATGTTAGAATGTTACTGTATTCATTAATTGAAATCAACTCTATTGAATACAGATAAAATCAGTCAACTGTATCTTTTACGCTGTGGGCTTTTAAGTATGATTCAATGAAATCATTCTTCCCCCTAATTTCAAATTGATATCACTTATTTTTTTCTGAGTTCCGCACTCGTTGAAGCTTTAGCTTCAGAAGACCATCCATCGCCTTCTGCTTTCACCCATGCATCACACCCAACAACAAAGACCGCTAAACCCAATACAGTCACAATAGTACGTAATACAACTTTCGATAATTTCATTCAGATCTTCCTTCTAAAAACATGTTTACATCGTTATTTAGATATTTAACCTGAAAAAAAATTATGCTTTTCTGGGTATTCCTACGGTCTAAAATGGGTCATTAAACAACAGCTTTAATATGCTATGACTAAACCAGAATGATCATAAATCTTTACTTTTAAACATAAAAAAGCCCACATAGTTGTGAGCTTCAGTTTTTAAAGCACTGTACGTGCATGAAATTAATTTTAACAGGCAATCCTGCTCATTCATTCACGTACATGTTCATATTAGACTTCACTATATCCAATAGATGTAGAAACTGGGGGATATTTATCGCAAATTTCCCAAAGATAGTAGCTATTGACTACTGTTTCTCCATTTCGTTCTTCATAGATCGATAGATCATTATCCGAAGAACCTTTCAAATCACGAGCTGACTGAACCAAGTACATCTTATTATCATCATTTTGTAAGGCGAAACCTTCTAGCTTCAAAAAAACCTCAGTTTGTTCAGGCTGAGTATCGCAAGGTTTCAACTTTGAAATCAACGAAGTTACAATTGCTGGCATTTCCATAGAGTTTTTATCCGTATAAAGTGGAATGTCCTAATTCAATTAGGATGACTTCCTATTTTTCAAGTCTGAGTTTTCAATCTAATACTGCCCGTATTACACGCCCCAACAAACCTCGACGTTTCGGCTCAGGCTCTTGTACCTGAATTATTGGCTCAGGCTTAGACTGTTCTATAGATTTCTCTTGTTCTAAAGCTGGCTCAGGCTTCGCTTCTGTCATAGATTCTGGCTCAGACGATGATTGTGGTTTGGGTGCTCCTAACAATCGTTGTAGTGAGTCAATTTGATCATCTTTTGCTTGTAATTGTTCACGTTGAAACTGTTCCCGCTCTTGGGCTAATTGTAGTTGTTTTTGTAGGAAGTCTACCTGTTGTCCCAAAATGTCTACTTCAGCCAACTTTTGTGTAGCAGTAGACTGTACCGTGGTTACGCGCTGTGATGGCTCACCAAAGACACGGATAGCTTCTGCAAAGTCTATTCTCCCGTCACTATTTTTACTTAAATCGCCTTTGTTTATACGCTTATAAATAGATTGACGGTTCATACCATATAACTTGGCAAGTTCGATAACTGTGAGTGATTTCATATTTTTCTTAGCGTTACAACCAGTATAAATAGGGTACATAATGGTGTCATGTACCGCTACATTATTTACAAAGTTTTCTGACACTATTCCAAATTAAAAGAAATGAGAGCCTCTTTCAAATCATTATTCACAATCCGAAGCACCTTAAGATTTAAAGTTTTACTTTTCGTAGATACAGATTCTTTCATGATTCTAGAAAAATCGTCTGGTGTTAAAATCGGATTATCATTGATAGCAACAATCACATCATCACGGAGCAGGTTAGCGTTATAAGGTTTTGATCCTTGAAGAACAGTATTTACATAAGCACCTGTATTACGCTGGTAGATAGATCGTTTCTCAGTGGGGATTACTTCAACATCAATTCCCATTTTATACGGAAGTGTTAACTCATTATTTTTCACGTAGAAAGCTATCAAATATTCGTAAATTTCATCCCATTTCATTCGTTCAGATTGAACACCTGTCCCAGATGAAACTTTAAATTGATCTAAATCTACTTGTTGAACTGTTGCGTGAGTTGCTCTAATTTTTTGAGCTTGATCTCGTACTTCATGATAGGACACCTCATAATCTCGAAAACGACTAAAACCAATTACTTTGTAGCCCATTTCTGCGAATTCTTCAGAACTTCTATTAGCATCTGAAACAGAAAACAACTGTACTTCTTGTCCTGTATTTAGATATTCATAATATTGTTTAGGTACTGGTACTAAGACTTTATAGTTTTTGGAAACATTACCACTGCTCTTTGTATTTGACTTCGAAGGCGTAACAGCGCCTGTTCCTGAATTTGTAACTTTAATTAAAGTAAGATCAGAATGATTCCTAGGTTTTGCACTAAGGATGGTCGTGCCATCTTTATCTTGATACTGATAAACCTGACTATTAGCTAAAGCTTCAACACAAGGTATTACCAAAAATATGCTTAAAAAAAGAGCTTTATTCATATTGGTTATTCAAATAATTATTAAGTTTTCAAAATTATATCGTAAAGATCATTCGTAAAACATTGAATAAATAAAGAGGCTGTAACGCTACAGCCAAATACAAGAGATTCTATACTTTAACTAAATTTTTCAATTGATTAACCATGTATTAGGCTACAAGATCGAGTTCAATATTACTTCTTGCTCTTGGGGCACGTGTATGTCCAAAAGAATACCGTTTGATATGATCAGGTAGTAATTCCTTTTGCTCAGACTTACACAAATAGGATGCTCTAATCACAGCATCATTGAACTCCGTCTTTAAGTCGTGCCCTCTAACCTCTTTAAAACTGCCGTCTTCAGCCACTAGGGCATCATTACTGATAGTTCTTGAAGCTCGATTTCGATAACGGCAATAACCACAACTATTCTTACCTTTGAAACCAATATAACTAAAATCGTCTATGTGCTCGATGGGCACTACAAAATCCAAGCGTCCCAAGGTTCTATTAATCACAGACATGATTTCTTGATAACCAAAGCGATTATTTCCAAAGTCCACAATGAACATAAAATGGATGTGATCATACTGGTAGTCGTTAATCATTTTAGATTCAATCGAGTAAATCACTTCAATCGCTGGACAATTACGCTTTCTGACTGTGCTATTACGATCTAAACGTTGTTTCTCAAATCTCTTAAACTCGCTGATATAAGCCTCTTTGACCCGTTGCACCATCTTCTCAGGTAACAAATCAAATTTAGCTTCAACGATGAAATGCATCATTCGTGGTGATTGCATGGTTTCTTTACAACGGTTTAAGACTGATGCCATTGCCGATACGTTGTGATCTCTATCAGCCTTGTTTAGTACACGTACACCTCCAATAGACTTTGTGCTGTTGTTACTAATAGCTATAAACAATAATTACCCTCCCAGTATGTTTGATATGAAGTAGATATTTAAATCACATATAGAATGCGCCACATAAAAACAGAAAAAGATACCCATCACACAATCAATCAAGTTTGCATGTGATATAGATATACAAAGGGTTTCATACTGAAATTATGTGGCTATCAAGCTAAAAATTTAACTTGAAATTTCTTCTGCTAACTCTAGATTTGAATCACTGACCAATCTTCACGGTTTTTACTAGACTCAATGGTAATAAACGCATTTCTGGTGTGATATCACTAGCCGTAAAGAGTTTTTCTTTTCGTGTATTTTTATATGGTAGATGTTGAGCCAATTGATAGACATGAAAACAAACTTCCTCCATATCTATCTCATCTTGAGATAAATCATAATCACATAACAATGAATAATCTGAACTAACCGAATCAACCATACCTATTGAATAATCAATGCTTTTGCTATTAAAAATTGCCAACAAAATCTTTCCCTCTACTTGGAGCTTGGCATAAAAGCAATTGGCTTGTTTTAAATCATATAAAACTGATGTTAGATCATCTGGACTATCTAAAATCTCAAAAATTTGAATTGTCTGTTGATTTAAAAACGCATAACTCAATAAATAATTTAACTTCTGAACGTTATTCAATCTGTAGTATTTATTATCAAGCTCACATCCTAAAAAATCATCTTGAACTAATTGAGACTGCTTATATTTGAAATTTAACATTTTAATCCTCTTGTTTTTCTATTCATCCCCCAAATTCAAAATGCAAAAAA